AAAAAAAAATTTGTTAACGTATTCAAAGAATGCGTTATGCTTTCATTTTTGCTTTTTCTTTTTTTTTTTTTATTCATTTTTTTTATTCTGAAAGTTTTAAATCAATTAGTCTTAAACAAATAGCTTCTTATTGCATTGTTAAACGTTAAACTAATTGGAGTATCTTACTTTTATTGTAATATGAGGTTCACCCAAAGCAACATTCATCGTTAACAATAAAAAAAATGATTCAGTTACTGAGTTACAATCTCTCTTCTATATTTTCAACCTTTATTATATACTTTTAAGATCTTTTAAAATTGTTATTAGTCATTTATTTTTGAGTTCACATGAAACATTTTATAGTACCGAAAAATATTATTATGTTTATAAGTTTCCTTTTCGATGTTTAAAAAAACAGAATAAGTAATAGTCTTGAATTTACTAATGAACGTGTAAGTCAGTAACAAAAGTGAATAAGTATAAAATTTAAGTATAGTCTTGTTTTACATATAAGTATAAGTGCTGTTTTTCGACAATAGACGAGGGTATGAAGCTATAAACACGAAAATGGTTACCGAATCATGAGAGTGAAGAAGCTGCAGTTAGTAGGTAACTGGAGATACGGACACATGAATTATGAAAACTTAAGTCTATTATATAAAATTAAAATTGGATATAATCCTACATACCATATTGCCATAATTACTCTTAAATTGAAACAGTCTACAAATTTCATCTTGAGAATTTCAACATCTATAAAAAAGAATAGTTTTATTAATTTATTTTTTATTTTACTAGTACTTTCTTCTGATAAAGATCTGATCTTAAAAAGATTCATCTTAATAAAAATTTAAAAGTGGTTGATATATGCATCATTGCTCTAAAAACACAGGTTTATGTGTTCATCTATAATATTATGCATTTAACAAAAATAAAAATAAAAAATGCTATCCCATGATATTGCTAAATATCCAACTTGACAACAGTTCCTTAATGGATTTTCTATCTTTTCAATGCAGAGATAAAATGAGCTTAAAAAAATGAATGCAAAAACAAAATGAAAAATACGACAAGTGTTAAAACAACATAATGCCAACAGCAATTCCGACAGCATCAACAACAGGAGCAACATTGGGAACCATATTTCCGCCTTTGGCAATTTTTACTCTTTTGAAGATTATTATTTTGTTACGCCTTAACACATACAACAGTGCTACCACCTCAGGCACTGCTGCTGCATTTAGTTACTCCTTAAATTATTTTCCTTCACCTTTTTGTTTGTCTGTTTGTTTGTTTGTTTGTTGTATCTATCTAGAGTCACATTTTGCGTTCATAATAAACATATTTGCACTCTGTCTTTGTATTGAAAGTCTTTTAATACGTGTTTTCCTCAGGGATAAACTTAACTGGATGCTGCGTGCGTTTGCTACTATATCTTCTTATGCAGAGTTTTCAGTTATATTTCGAAATATCATTAATACATACTGTCTTTTCATCTCGGTACGTAATGGCAAATGTAAATGGACGACTTGTATTGCATACGTAATGCGTTATATATGAAAAAGATTTGGTAATCATTCTTGGGGTTCCATTTGAAAAATTGTGATTTATGTTGCTTTTTCAGCAAAATTTAGGTAGAAATAAATGAAATTTTCGAACATTTTTTAATGCCAAATTTTCTAAATTTGTTAAGTCAGCACTTTTACAAGTATCTTTTCTGCATGAATTTCTTCTAGCTATTGGTATTGAATTTTAGTGAAAAATTTTATAGAATCACTATAATTTTTCTTTCTATATACTTTTTTTGAATAAGTAAAAGAAAAATTAAATTTGCTATAATTTATATACAAGTAACATCTGAACTGTCTTTTTTTTTATTATTATTTAATTACTGGTATGCACTCTTTTAAATTGAGTACTAAAAAATCAGTTTAAAACAGATTGCTAAAAATTGACTTCAAAATCAATTAAGTAAAGCAATATTATTTTAAAATATTTAAAAAGTATATATGTCTTTGCCAAAGTTTAGTTGATTTTAGTTCATTTTGCTTTTGAAGTCGTTACAGCATCCATTGATGCAGTAAATACTATAAAGCATTCAATTTCTGCAATGTTGAGGAGCGGTCTTGTTCACTACACAAGCAATTTGTATCTAAATTTTCCTTTTTCATTCATTAAATAAAGTCTGACTTGGCTACATGCTCTTTAAAGTTAAAACATTTTCAAATTTTGACTATGCAGAGTTTTTTTCACAATCTCACAATTTTCGTACTCCAAACAATTTCTTCCGAAAGTATCGTGTAAGGAAGGATATTAATGCATATACTAGTGTCTGGAATATGTAAACATACATCATTGTAACATCACCAGTATAAATTGTCAATTTGAATATTATTCAATTCCTGTGTGTAACAATCGATTGTAATATTTTCTTCTTTCTCTTAGGGAATTCCGTTTTTAATAACGCAGCACTCGTAGCGTGCAATCAGTAAACTTTATTTGAAATGCATAAAAATATACATATGTATAGAAAAATATATACATGTGTACATTTTTATATATTGATTGCATATTAATACGGTTTTTTGTGTTTTTTTAAGACAACAATCTCTCTTTTTCTTCTACTTGTCGCTATAATCCTAGAGTGCAGTCACAATTTTTACAAGAAATTACTTATAGCAAATATTTTGCTAGTTATTTAGAACGAAAATTTTGCTTTTATATAATATATTTTAAAACAAAAATAATGATAATCCATAAGCACTATATATATATACATATTATGTTAAAAAATTACACATATTGACTCTGGATTTTCAAGCTTTCTATAGAACTTTTTATAATCTATACTAGATACTCATCTAACCAATCTAAGTTTGTCACTGAAGTAATGGTCTTAAAAACGGTCTAAGATATTCATGTGGACTCCCAAAATATACTGTCGCCATCTTGACTGAAAACACAATATGACTGATCTGCATTGAATGATTTCGGATGCGAAAACCTCGTTAAAAACATTAAATCTTTAATTGTTTAAACTTTGTGCTTATATAATTACTTATACATTACTGTACATTTTATATTTGCATACGATAATTAAAATATGATAACCTTTATAAAACCATGTATTGTATAGGTGCTTGAAAATGTTCTATTGAAAAGGACGAAAAAAAAAATAGATTATAGAGCGAAGACTTACTGTGTGTGCGGCTCAAATTTTTTGAGCCTTTAAAATGTTTAAATTTTCGAATTCTATATTTGTATAGAATTCGAGTCTATATTCGACTTGTTTAAATATTATAATACTTGAACACGTTGAGCGACTAATATCAAACATAAAGCTGAGTACCAATGAAATTAAAAAATCAAATAATTCTAATGAAATCATTGAGATCATTTTGGATCGTGCTTGCTAATAATCGGAGTAATAGTGCAAATATACACCATTTCCATATAATACGGTAAAATAATTTATTAATAATATATGTTATAACATTTGAGTGCTGAAATGAGTTGGAGTTCCGTCGCTTAGTGGTTTCCGTTAGTACATGAAAAAGAACTATGGTTACTGTGATTTAGATGACAGAGTATTCGTGGAGTAGCACCAGCTTGAGGGCCAAAATAAAATTTAGAGACCCCTGTGCTCCACTGAAAATAATAGACACACAATACATGATGTTGAATCATAAAATCTAATAACCCTATTTATGAAAAAGAGAATAATTAAATTTATAAATATTGCTCTTAAAAGTACTTTTTAGTTAATCAACTCTAAATTTTATTTTATTTTTACTTTTAAAATACTTATATACTAATACAATTTAGAGACTCTGTGCTCCACTGAAAGTGACAGACAATAGATGTTGATGGATCGTAAAATCTATTAACCCTAAATAATAATAAATCTAAATAATAATATAAATAATAATTGCATATATAAAGATTGTTCTTAAAAACAATTCATAATAAATCAATTCTAAATCTTATTTTATTTTTACTTATTTAGAATATTATAAAATTTTTCAAATTATTATTTTGGTTTTAATTTAAATCAATTATTTAGTCTTTAACAAAAGACATAAAAACAATTTGATATTTTATATATTCTGTATAATGAAACCATAAAGTAAAGCTAGTAAATGTAGCATATAGAAACTAGTCAATGCTACCAAGACTTAAAATTTTTCCTAGTTAGTGATTCATACATACAAGCACAATTGGTGTTCCATAAGTGCCGGAACGCAAATGTGCATACCTTATTGCGCTTCCTTTTCCTGTATCGCATATTATCATTTGCATCGTTTTTGTTGCTTACTTCTGCTGCTGCTGCTATGAAACAATCACCAACACAATGAACTTACATTTTGAACGCGAGTTCATTTGCAGATAAGAATATATTATATATATGTATAAAGAGATATATTTCTGTATAGACTTATACTTGCTACCTCGTAACTTAGAACAGTGCCTGCCATTCCTTTCAAATTATCTTTTGTTGTAATTTATTTTATATTTGAATTGCTTTTTCTCCTTAATCGTTAGTCTATGTTTGACTTAAACTTGTCTCTGATGTCTTTATGTTAATATATAATAAAAAAAATTTATCTGATACATATTTTGTCATTGATAGTTTACAATATATAAGGTTAATGATTTCATTTATATTATCTTTATGTATTAAATCTAATCTCCAAATATTTAAGTTGAATACTATTAATTAACTTTATACATAGATTTTTATTGTTAATATACAATTTTATATTCAATTAAACGTTTAAGTATATACTTTTATAAATTATTTATGGACAATTTAATAAAATAATGTTTTGATTAATTTATTACATTTATATAGCATGAGTTTATTAACAAATTTATAATGCATTACAATTTATACATTTATTATTTCACCCTTTATCATTTTTAAGTACTTTTAAAATTAAAAAAAATTTATAATTAATATCCAACACTCTTTTCTTCTATCCCCTCTTACGTTTTTCGTTTATATTACAACTATGCAGTCTTCAGTATTGATTAAGAACGAATCGGAAATTATTGGCCAACAGTCCAGTTCAACTACTGCTGGTGGTGGTGTTGGTGGCGGTGGTGGCACAGTTACAATGGCAAATACATCCTCCACATCACCAGTTGCAGTCTCATCTACTGCATCTTCAAACATCATAACAAGCCAAAGTCAATCAGTTAATGGCACAATAACCGCAAATTCGGGTGCTTTGACTGATTTAACTAATAATACGTCACCAAATGGTATTGTCACTTCGAGTTCAGCTGTAATTTCAAATGAATTACTTTCGTCAACACAACAACAACAGCAACAGCAACAGATACTTGGTATTAGTCAACCAAGTGGTACTGCAGCGACTTCAGTAACAACCACCTCAGCTGCCACTGGTGTATTGGCTGCAACCAGCACTGCTGGTTCTGGTTTATTACCTACAGTAATTTCGGCTTCCTCGACAGACTCAGCAGCAATTGTGCCATCAATAGTTAGCGGTATACCCGGAACTGCTTCAAGTACATCACAGGTTATTGCTTGTCTTAATGCTGCCACAGGCGTTAGTGGTATTATGACTTCCACTGTACAAACCACACCTGTAGCTACTAGTCTAACGTCCGCTCTAGTCCAACAACAACAACAACAGCAGCAAGCTGTACTCGATGCCAAAAACCAACCCAAACGTCTGCACGTTTCAAATATACCGTTCCGGTTCCGAGATCCTGATTTACGTGCCATGTTTGGAGTGAGTATACTGTTTTAAAAATATTATCAAAACTTTACCTTTCTTTTCTATTTTAAATTAAAATTTTTTCTTTTATTTTATATTTTCCTGCCTGTGTTAAACTATATTATTTCAACACTTTTATCTACCATTCAATCTGGTGATGCCTACAGCAATTTGGCACCATTTTAGATGTGGAAATTATATTCAATGAGCGAGGTAGCAAGGTGAGTAATACTTTTTATATTAAAATATATTTTATTGTAGTATATATTAAATCATTGTAGTATGTATATATGCTTTTAAAAACGAAATGTATATTATATGCTTGAAACGCATGTTTATTGCTTATAAAAATATTATTAATAAAGATACGAAGTCATTACACATTTATATGTATATGTATGTTTTTTATATTTATATTATTTAAGTAATTTAGTATGGAATAATTTTCAATAATATTAAATAAATGGAAGTTACATATATATCAATTGTTATTAACAATAATCTGAAGATTTTATCCTTAGAACTGAATATTGAAGTGAAGAAAATGATATAGTTTTTGAATGTAATATTAGTTTAAGGCATTTTCTTGATTATTCAAAATCAGTTGACTTAGTATTTTTAGATTTACGCACAAATGTTTTCTCTTAATGTACTAAAAGTTATTTCAAATAACACTATTATTAAATACGCTTAGAAAAACAAAATTCAATATATAAATGAATCATAATTATCAATTATATTTGAATACATAAATACATCCCGCAGTATTAGTGATTATTTAATGTTTAAATTATTTATTTTTTATTTCTTGAATGTAACCATAGCATTAAAACAATAAGTATTTTTTATAATGAAATGAAAGCTATTATTCACAAATAACAAACATTTAATTATTTTAAATGTAATATTAAAAAGTTTATAGCAAAATTCGACTGCAACATTAAACAAGTTAAAAAATATTACTACTTTTTTTAATGCTTAATTATTTTATATGATTAAAAAATTTTCATAATTGTAAAACGAAAAGCTTAAAAAAGGTGCTATAAATATACTTTACTATTAGGTTTCTCTAATATAAGATAAAAGTATTGCTTGAACCAATTTCTATTTGATTTATTTGTCTTCTCGAACAGTTATTAACCACTCTCAATCTAATCGACATAGGTTTTTTTGTGTAAGATATTACAGCCAAATTGATAACAATTAAAATTGTTAGAGTGAAATATTTTTGTTGTTAAATTTTCTTAATAATTGTCCCTTTCTATTTAAAAAATTACAATTAATTTCCTAACCACATATGCTCACAAAAAAAAACTGATACAATTCAGAAGAAATTAATTCCAATATTAATTTTTTTTTTGTCGAACATGGTACAATCCAACAAATTATATATAGAAGAAAAACTAATTAAATAAAAATTTGATTAATTTTTAATTAATTAAATAAAAGTTATGAGTACTTGGCAACACAAATTTTTAAACAAATGTTTGTTGTTATTTCTTTATTACTGTTCAAACTCTTCTAGAAATAAATTCCTTTGTACGAATACTAATTTATAAACATAACATCACTCTCCAAGTATTACATAAGTAAAACCAATTTAATAAGTTGTAAGCAATTATAGTAAATGCTATGCTTACCTAACATGTGGTTATGTGTTCTTGAATTTCATTTTAATAGAACTTTTCTTTTGTAAGCATATGGCAAAAGAACAATTGCTTATTTTAAAAATAACAACAGTGCCAACTTTTTTGAAACCGCTTAACTAATAAGTAGCTCAAACCGCATCGTTGCCAAGACTAAAAACTCGTCTATTGTGAATGACTATTTGGAAGTACGTAAAAAATTTCCAGTTAGCTGGTTTTGTTAATTATTCGTATTTTGTGTAGTTACTACTTTTGTTTAGAAAACTCAATATTAACTTAATTATTACTCCTAAATTTAATGAAAAATTTTATTACGTATTTTACAAACATGTACATTTGTGTATTTTCATATATAAACCCATCAGATATCAAAACAAAAGTGTCCGGTTTTTCCAGAGTTGCCATCGAAAGTAGTTTTAATTTTATGCTATTCTTTTGCGACATGCTTACAAAAGAAAATGCTTAATATTGTGATTTGAAAACTTTATGATTTTAAGTTTGTAATTAAAGTTGCATTCTGATATATTAAATTATTAAGATTGGGGGAGAATAGAGATTACTTATCTCTTCATTATTCGTAAAGAAATTTTTGGTTTTTATTATGAAATTTCGTAATATAAATAAATCAAATAGGACAAAGAATTTATTATAATATATGAATAAATAGTTATAAAATACTAATAACAAATTTTATTGTTAAATTATTAATTTTTTTTTTTTTTTGACTGACCATTCAGTTTGTCCCGACCACCAATGATAGGTATATGGCAATATCCGGCGCTTCGAATTAATTAAAAATTAATTTGTATCATTGTAATTCATTAATGTTCACTGTTTACTTACTATTCTCAACATAATATATTCTGAACTAATTATTCTTTCTATAATTAATTATATTCTTTCTATAGTATAGTATAGTAACTATATATAGTTTCTATAGTTCTATAATTATTATTATAGAACTATTATTCTAACTAATTAATTTATTAGACAATTGAGATATAATTATTTCTATTATTAAGCAAAAGTTATTTATAAGTTGTGTGTTATTATAATTTAAATGCTTTTTAATTTTGCATTCATAAATAAATTATTATAATATTTAAAAATATATAATAACTTAATTTAGTAGTATTAATAAATTATTTATAAATATTTAAAAAAAAAATAATTAGAATTAATGCTAAACTTGTTCTTATAAAAAATTTATCTGTAGATACCATTTATGTATTTGTACAGTTCAAGCATGTAATTCTATATAATTGCATTGCATCCTAAAGCTTTATCATTGTTTAACCCTTAGATAACTAATGTAGTACCATAACAGAAACATAACTTAAACAATTTCTTTTGTCTTAACTTTGCATTTAATCATTCATCTATATTATTGTGAACTGCTAATTGGTGCGCCTTCTGTTCACTAAAAGTTTCCTGGTATTCTTATCAAATATTTGCAAACAATGCTTTTTCGAGAGGTCGAAAACTTAATTAAAGCATAATTGTTTTAAATAATTTGCTTATTCACCATTTTATAATTCGTAATTCTTAATTGATGTCTTAAAAGAAATGAATCGCTTTTATTAATTCGAATGCAAAATTTCCGCTCCACAGCTCCGTATAGTTTCCAGTTTCCAGCGATTTCACTTCACTTTCATATTTTATAAGGCATTACGCTTCCTCTCTTGCCCAGCATTTATATTTTATTCCAAGTTAGCTTTTTAATTCCAAGTAGAGAAATCGCCAACATGGCATAAAATAAAATAACAAAGCATTTAGTACACACATAAACTTATTCAAAGGATATTCAATGGTATGAGGAAAAAAATGTCGGAAATATGTTTGCTAACAATTGTATGTTCTTTAAACTTATCAAAAAGCACAAAAGTGACATTGTAAGGAAATGAAAAATTTATATAAATAAAACCACACATATTTTGTGTAAAAAAATTCTAACAATATGGCATATATTAAATAGCTTATATTTGAAGTTGGAGTAAATTTCATATAATAACTTAAGTCCTGTATTTATGTAAATATATAACAACTTTTTACTTAGAGTTATATTAAGTGGTCTGATCATTTATAAAATACTTTACATTATGTTTATTTTTGTTTGGATTTACTTAGTTGCATTAAAATTGTTGTATAGAGTAGGAACGAATATTTTTTTAAAATAAATAACATATACATTCATTTAATGTATCTACTCTAACAATGAGACTTATAATAAGTTTTAAAATCTTATTACTAATTGCATAATATTACAATTCTTATTTTAACTATACTATGTATAAAATAAAATAAAATAACTAAACATTATATTATGGACTTCACTTCGATCATTGGATGACATTTCATTGGAATGAAGGTTACGTGGTTTATTAAGAAAACAATTAAACTTTAACGACCACTAAGGAGAGTGAGGTTTTTACTTAAAACTATTGAATTTTAATTAATAGCTTGACGGTCAGTTCTGTTCTTTTTAGAAAGGAAGTAAGGGATAGAAGTGCGAGATTTCTTGCTAAGGGGTTAAATTGTTCTGTCAGATTTTTATTGTATTTATTTCTTATATTGAAAAATTCAGCTATAACTAAGGAAATTTGTTGATCTCGGTGGATGCTTTGCTTTCTAATATACCATGACGCACCACTAATTGTACTCAGTATTTTTGATTGAGCTCTTTAGATATTTTCAATATTTGAAACGCTAGTATTACCAAATAGCTGTATACCATAACTCCACATTGGTTTTATGATGCCGTTATACATTAGTACTTTATACTCTAGACAGAGAGAAGATCTGTTATTTATCAGCCAGTGCAATTTAGAGGCTTGTAGCCTCATTTATAGTTTTTTGGCTTTAATGTGCTTGCGCCAAGTTAGTCGTCTGTCTAGATGAATACCCAAGTAAGTTATATTATAACAAATATGTATCTTGAAAAATATTTTAATTTGAAAGGATTGTGGGTTATTGTCAAATAGAAAATGGTAGGAATAGAGCAGCTTCTTTAATAGCGCCACCATTTTTTTTTTGTTGCTTGTCACTAGTTTAGTTTTTATAGACAACTTCTTCTTCTTCTATGTAGAAGAAGAAAAAAATTATAGACAATTATGAAAAGTGAAATTCTAAAAAGATTTTATTTGGATAGAAAAAATACTTGTCTTTGCTCTTAGCTTTATAGTTATTATTATAACAAAAAAGTTTATATATTTTATATATTCCTGTATGACTCATACCCAAATGCTTAAGCTGTACTAGCAAGTTCAGCATATTATGCTGTTACGTAAAACATAATTTATGTAGAGAAAAAGGCAATAATCCTATTACTATGTTTCCCCGATTTGACAGCGTATTAGAATCACCTATTCTCAGCAACTTTTGCACTACGATATCTGTCGTTATAACTTAGTACTCAAGTTACTAGCTTTAAAACTTAAAGATGTTCATTTTTTACAATTATTACATTAAAAAGCCCTATAGACAACATTAACGCCAATTGATATATACAATTTTGATATCGATAATGCAAGTAATTGTTAAAAACCAGTAAACGCGCCAGATGACCAATTTCTAAA